TCTGTTCTTTTATGTCGTTTTAGATATAAAGTCGCCTACATGGAATAATGAATAAATTTATCTGTATACGAAGACCACTGCATTAAGTGTTTTATGAATATTTATACTTTATAAATTAACAGTTCACTTGATGAATTAAGCTAAGTAAAAAATCCTTCATACATAAATCGTAAACAAAAATGAAGTTAATTCATTTCCTTCTTAAGGTAGCGTTGTTAAATGTAAGGTTACAACTAATAAGCAACGTTGTCAGGCTTATTCCTGGCCAAGATAGGTGAAGACTTTCTTCTGGGTTGTAGTGCAGGGTGATCACCCTCATGATTGAGGCAGCAAAAACCGATATTTCAACATCGTTGTTAGTAAAGCCAATACGATCCTGAGTAATTTGTATCTGCCTTCTGTCCTCACAGTGTAAGATTCATCTTCTTCTCGGTCTTCCAAGTGGGCGATTTGTAAGAGGTTTCTCAATCAAAATTCTGTATGCATTCCTTATTTCCTCTATCTTATCCGCATGTCCAGACCATAGAAATCTCATACATTTTACTATTATAGCAATACTAGATGGCCTGTATAAATCAGAAGACCCTTGTTATATAATTGATCTATTCTAAATTGCGCAATTAATTAATCGATTCAGAATTTTTCGCAGCGATGGAACAAAACAGATGGTAATTTATTGTTTCGTTTATCAGAATCTCCAACATTTGGATAATTTATAATAAATGGATAAGAAGGAAAAATCTTGGCAATTAATATGGGTCTTATAAAGTCAAAGGAATTCACCGACAAAATTGGGAAATGTTTCCAGATGGCCACGATTTTAATGATCATGGAGCAATATTCTGCATGCTGTTGACTGCCTCCAGAACTCTGAAGAAGACACAGTACAGAATCCATAGAATAGAGACAAACTCAGATAACATTATGATTGTTAGTTATTTCTTCTTTCTGTTTCGAGTTCTACAGTCGTTGACGGGCCTTGGACTACTGACATATGGGAGATTTCTTAGGCTATTTAGACATTTGATAGGACTGCTTGGAAAAGTGATCAGCCCGTCACGATGCATCTAGCTATACAGGACAGCTTAACACACAGAAAGACTCGGATAAATCCTTGAGAAGTATTCGAACCCACGGTCCCAGTGTCGGAGCAATCAGGGCCCACGCCTCTTACCGACCGCTGTGAGCTGCTTGTATGTTATTTAATGACCCTGTTTTCACTGCACATGTTATAGCTTGGCGTCGAATGACATAAGAGGATTGTCATAAACGGTGAGTAGTTAAGGATTTGGAATAAGGCAATCATCTCACAAGCCAATTTGAACGTATTTTGACGGAAGGACTGCATTAAATCTCAATAAGGATTCACGGCAACCCGGCCGATATTCGAACCGAGTATATTTAGAATAAGGCGCTACACCAGAATTGTCGGAAGAGAACAAAAAAGATGCGTATAGGAGATCTGGTAAGAACAAATAATAAGCAATAGCTAACAATAAAGTGGCAAAAAGCAGCAATTTTGGAATCTCCCAACCTTCGGCATAAACTGTTCCTAGTGTCGTGATAATAAGTAAAAAGTCGCCGGTGGAAATGACTCGAATAGTAAGTTAAAAGGCGAGTAGCTTTGTTCTAAATTGACTTTATCTTGAAGTCCAAATTAGCTTAAATCCTGTTTGAAACAGACTTTAGTGTGACAACAGTAGTACGTGACAGTGAATCTGAACACCTTATTTTAAAATTTCTCCCGTAAAGACCCCAAGTGTTCACACTTAAGATAGCGTCTACCTTCTAATTAATTCATGTTGCTTCCTATATGATTTTTTTTAAATTTCCGCATAAATTATGTTGTTTTCCCATAAATTATATCAAATTATATCCACATGTTGCTGTTTGTTACGAGACGACAAAACAGCTGTTTTGACTGGCCGTTGCGCACTGTAATGAGTCAGTTATATCCACGCCCCAGCCTCGCAACCTATTATTTTAACATCTGCGTTAAATTTATCTTCGGGCTTTCAAGTGACCGTTTTCCAACGAAATTCTGTACATCTCCATAGACCAAACTCGTTGAGAATTTAATAACACGTTCATACATTCAAGAAAATCCGTGCCGTTTGTGGAACCAATGGTTTCATTGTAGGATTTGAGGCTTTCACGGTGGCGAGTCTGAAAATGACTGTTCTCGTTCATTGATACAAAATCAGCGGGATTTCTTACGTCATGTTATAAAGGTTTTCACTCGGAAAGTGGAAGTCGGGTGTAATTTCGTCACAGAACATTGTCACCTTACATTTTATCACCGAAACCACCCTTACGAGATTGAGCGTTTGTTTCAGAACACCCTGCTACTGTTTCGAAACGCCGGATCGGCTGTTTATTCTGTACTGAAGCAACTTATCGTACGGAAACAATTATTTGCACTTAATCGCAACAAGACTTTCACATGTTATCATTAATGTTGAGTTATTGATGAATTTACACATTTAATATACGCGGATGAACGGGTTAATAACTATACGGATGGATGATTGTTAGTGACTAGTGTATCTCATTCCCACATACATATATAGTTTATTTAATTTCAGCGCAAAATCCCTCCTCAAACCACTTTATTCCTACTGACGTCAGACATCATAACGTGACGTTATCGTGAGGGGTGACCCCAGAATGTCAGCCGACTTAACACAGATACTCTTTCTCAAATTAATTCCACGTCAGATTGCCAAAGAGCATTGGGAGCTTCCTGTATCAGCAACATTAATTAGCACTTCACGTATCTAAAACACTTCCCTCCTATCAGGACGATTAACTTGTGGAAGGGACCTAGTACTGCGTTCGTTCTCGCCAAAGCGGAGTTAGAAGTTGCTGGTCCTCTTGAAAACAATAAAAGTGCAAGTGTTAGGATGACAACGATGACGTATCAGGCGATGACTGCGATGAAGTCAATTTATTAATATCTTAGTGCGTTATATATTACGCTAAAATCGCGTCAGGCATGTTTACTATATACATCGTTTAAAAAAGAGATGTTCTTACTAAGGAAAACCCATAAACGCCTATGAAGATCAATGTCTTCTGGGTTGTTGCGCCTTGTGGTCTGGTAGAAGTTTACCGATGCAAAAACCCACAAGACAGCAATTTTTATGCTTGCCGCTGTCAGAACTTGAAATCCCACACAACCGCCTGCTTTTATTGATTCCAACCTCAAGCTTTAGTTTAAGTTAACACCGGTGCTCTTTCTAAGATTAATTTCACGTCAGAAACTTTAAATTAGGACATCTAGGGCCGCACATCTTGTCCAATTCGAGAACTGAGTTGGGAACCATACCAAATCTATGACGGCCGCCGCGAGTTACTCAGGTTCTGTGCATTGGCCTCCAGCTGAAACACGATTTCGCTAATGTGGGAATCAGACAAAATATATAGTTCAGTGACGGATAAAATTTTGCGATGCACAAAGAATTATTTCAATGAAATATAATAAAATTTGGTAAAATATTCCTGTAACAAGATGTACGATTATCATTATTTTATGTTTATTCGTAAACATAATTACTTACTCCGTGGCTGTTCAGTCCTTGAAGAACCTTGGCCACCTCTAAAATGGGAGGTTTATTATGCCTGTTCTGTAAATTAATCGAAATTATGAATAAACGGAAGGAATTAGGGATGTACAAGCGCTCGTTGGAAAGTTTCTATCACTCTTATGTATGTAAAAATATATAGTCTTACGATCATGTTTACCAGAGCTGTGAAACGAGCTATTTCGAATTACCATTGAAGTTAAAACGTAATAATGTAGGTCATGAACGAGCGAGTTGTCTCATGTTTCAGTGTAATTTATGGCGTTACTAGCCAATCCTATCAGCTAGCCTAGTTTGGACTTATCTCGTATTTGGATTGCGGTCATCTCGGAAGAAGTCAAAGTTGTGCAGCGTGTTTCAACTTAATGGTCATATATAGTATTTATTTCCACCTTTTGTGAGTCTTTGCTTTTATTTGGCTTTTGGCTTTTCTCGCGTGTAACTATTTGAGTGTCAACTATTTATATTTTATTCATTTACTGTCTTGGTCGGTTTTTGGTTTCGTGGTTTTCTGGACTCTGGTTTTCATTACTTCCATTATAGGAGCCTAATTTTATATTTGTTTTTTAATTTGTTTTGGATCGTGTTGTCTTTTTACACGGATGGTGTGGAGATCTTCTTATATTCCTGGACTTTCACTTTTTTACTTTTCCGGAGATAGACATTAGCTCTATCTATTGGGCCCAACAGAGTAGGTACCTGAAGACGGAGATAGAGCCCCATCTCCGAAACGTCGTTTTCTATTTTATTATTTTACTAGACGATGGAAAATATCCAAGGAAATTTTTATTCAAACAATTTTAGTAACAAAATAATAGTAATACTGCGTGCGTTATTTTATGTAAATGGTTAGCTTCATGACACTAGGGCGTACAGACGAATATATTAGACATACCTTTATTTCGCAGTCCATAGGACGTACACTTTGGTAAATTTTAATCTAGCCGCCGAGGCTCTTAAGAGCTCCTTCACTGATATATTGGGCACCATTACTTCTTATACATCAATTTCTTAATTGATGTAATGTGTAGAACAAATTACATAAGTTTCACTAATAATTGAAGTAAAGATACAGTTTCCACTTTGTAAAAAAACGTAGTGCATTATTGAATGACAGAATATTATCCACGCTGAAGAATCAATTTATACCTTAAAAATATTTTTATTATAAAATTAATTTATTTCTTTTGTTTGCAGTCTGTAGTTAATACTAACTTCGAACTGACTAGTTTAAAATAAAATTTCCTTTGACAAAGAGACTCTCAAGTGATTATTGATTACTGTTATTATCCTGAATGTTCCAAGACGGCCATTCTGTCTTCGTCATAGCATTGACTTTACATACGTCGTGTTTATTCATGAGTGATAGACGTGGGAAAATGGGGGGGCTGCTTATAAAGGTACGCAGTGGCGATGGGTCATTTTCACTGTTGTTAAAGTGTGGGATTGGAGTAAGACATTCATAGTGTGTAAAAGGTATTATACAACTTCCGCAGCGTTTTTTAACGAGTAAATATCTCAGTGTAGTTATATATTCGTAAATGTATCGAAGATAATTTCAAGAACGTTTAACTTGCCCACTGCTGTCAACTAGAATTACAAGATACAGTTTAAAATTTTAGTCCAGCTAATTTATTTAAGCAGTGCAAAATGGTGTATTAATTGGATACAAAGTGAGGTAAGTGTCATGTTAGTAGATAAATATATTTTTTATGTGTCTGTTGTTGATATTTATAATATACACAAATTCTTGACCATTCACGTTAAATGTCAAAGATATTCATCCGAAATGTAATTATCTACAAAACAGAACGAATGCATTCGTCTAAAACATATTTTTATTCAAATTTATATAAATTATTAACAACGTACAGTTGAAAATTACTGTGCGTCTTCAAGTGAATTCTGTTTTTATCGTATCAAAATTAATAAGCAGGGGAGGGCGCGTCATTAAATTTGATTCGTTTACTCAAGATGTCTGTCTACTGTTTTCATATATTAAATTCGTTGTTAATATAACAGATATCAGGTACACAGTTTAATGATAGCAGGAGGCTTGTAAACGCTTTCGATAGCGCACAATTAATACGCTATGCTAATAAATTAATGACTTGCTGAAAGTCAGTATGCCGTCTTGCAAATAACAAGATATAACACATGTCTTTTATATACTTATGACTTTTATTCAAAACACGTTCCTTTGATAATATCTAGCAATATAAGACAAATACATTTTAATTCTAAAGGATTTTTACGGTAGTTTACACATAAAATTATTCATTGTCAGGACATTTTCCATCGTCTGTTCTTTAAAACCACGACGTTTCGGAGGCTGGTTCTGTCTCCGTCTTCAGGTGAGAGGTACCTGCTCTGTTGGGTCACTTAGAGCCAGTCCAGTGACAGAGACTAGCTCTGTCTAAGGGACACAACAGAGTAGGTACCTCTCACCTGAAGACGGAGACAGAACCAGCCTCCGAAACGTCGTGGTTTTAAAGAACAGACGATGGAAAAAGTCCTGACAATGAACAATTTTATGTGGAATACATTTTAGCTGACCCTTAAAATTAATATAGTGAATGTTATTTGTTGTGTATAAGAATCTGTCTAAATCTCTCAGAATACTCAAAAGATGCAAGTAAGCGTTCAAATGTGGCCTTAAAATTAGCTAAATTAAAGCAAGATAAAAATATAGCATCAACATTTAGTGTAGCTCCATCGTACGGAGTTTGATCAAAACATGGCATCAGTTTTGCTTCAGTTGCGGAAGGACAGACTTGTAAAAAGAAACTAATAGACTTGTCTCAAATTTTATTTTGAAACTGTTCCGAGGTCGCAGGATTCTTGGTTACCTTTATAAGAAATGTTGATAAAAATGTTTGTGTATTTGAATTATCGTGTTTATTATTTTTTTCGTCGCTATTCTAATTTGAGTGGGTAGCCAAGTATCTGAACAAAATCCGAATCTTGGTTGAAATATTATTTTGGCAAGGCAGTGAAGGTAGAAAGGTGACGCTTGAAATATTAGGGGTGGGGTGAGGATGAAGGCAGAAATGCGCATGCTGATTGATTATTGGCAATCTCAAATCCCTGTGGCTCCATCTATTGACAAAGTATGGAAGCCAAGTGATGGGTGCAAAACTAAGGTTCACACTGTCTGTTGCATATTTTTATTTTTTAATGTCTTCTGTCGTCTTTCTTTTATATTTTATCTGCTCAGAAGGTACCAGCCGATGTAAAATGGTTTGTGCGTAATTTCGAAACTCCATTGTCACGGCTGTAGTTACTTAATATTTATTATTTAACGGTTAACTGGTCCTTTTATTTTATAGTAAATGCCGTACCCAGTTTTATTAAGTATATGTTATTAATTTCTGGGTTGTAGAGACGGAGATGAGATGGGAAAAGTTATTAAATTAAAGACTGGTTGGCCAAAACCTTAATTTGGGACACGAATAAAAAAGGGTTAGTAACCGCTGACTTATAATTTCATACTTCCCTCTCGACATGCAACGCGTTAAGGGCGAATAAATTAGGCAATGTGTTAAACGTTAAACGAAATTGGTAGTGAGAATATAAGAACTTCAGACTGGAAAATTTTTAATCAAACGTAATTTGACAATCTTATGTTACTGAAAGGAGAATCACGTAAAGAAAATTGTCGTGTGCGTTTAGGACAGATTGTTGCAAATTTCGTGCAGAGAGTTTGGAACCAGAAAATATTTGACATGACGATCAGTTCTTCGACGCACAAATAATGCATTCTTCTGGTCTCGAATCTGGGCCAATCTACATCAATCATAGAAAGTTACCAACACCGACAGCTTCACCGCCATGAAAACTTCAGATCTCATACGTAGTTGAATGTGGTAAATTATGTTCACTATTAACGATTAACCGGTGGAAACGAGACTTGTTTTTGTAGGCATTATAACCCTTTCTTTCACGTAGGACCAAACAGAATGACATTCATTCCTGTCATTGTACAGCCGAGACAACAAAGCCTTCCAGCTAGTTAGAGGTTAACTCAGTGGGAATAAAAGATTAGCACATAATAAGAATCTCTTCCTTGTTTTGTTAGCGTGATTACAATGAGTCAAGCATGTGGCCGGGATAGGTAAAGCAATAAATATACTTGCAATAACACCCATTAGAATGTTACGACACAGAACACCGTATGAGGCTGGATTTGATAATGTGGATTCAGTTGAACCAGTTAGTGATGTAATTAAAATTCTAGCATTTATTAAACAAAATTCTAACTTTAAGTCTGTTTATATTTGCATTATGCAGAACCTACTTTATTTTTTGTAATATGTTCTTATTTTTAGACGTAAAGTGCTGCTAGACTGCTTATTTACTTGGCTCTGAATTCTTGGTTGCACCTTGCTTTTGGTAGAAACGTTTGAAGACTGAGAAGAATCACATCATGTTAACACCTGTAAATGGTGACTGCATCGTGCCAGACCTCCTGGCAGGCAAAGGGAAAACTAACGATGTATTCAAGAAACAAATGAGAAGACCTAAATTCAGTCTACGAGACCCTGCAGAACTGGAAGGTAAGATCTGACTAGCTAAATATCTGACAGCACAACGTAAAGGTTCAACATCGATAATACCGCAGCTTGGCTTTAGATACACAACAATCCTGAGCCAATTTAATCCACTTTCCTAAGAGTCATCATAATGTTATTTTGCCAATTTTTTTCACGATCCCTCAAGTGACCTTTTCCACTTTTGTTCTCAGATATGTCGCCTTATCTGTCTGTCCGCCTGCCCGCACATAACAACTCCTTCATTTTCTCTGCTTTTCTCGCTTTCCTCAATTCTGTCTCTCTTGTTTGTTTTCTTTCTTTGAAATTCCCTTCGTTCTGTCCGTTTTAGTAGGTTAAATGTGGTATTAGCTGACAACACCAAATCGAGGTAACTATCACGGCCAATTATAAAGCCGGTCCATTGTCATTTATTCGTTTAGGGAGAAAGTCAGGAAGGTTTGGTTAGCAATGATGCTTCTGACTTGTATCGGTGAGAAGTTTTATTCGGAATTTGACCGGGAAGAATAATAGCGTATCTGATATTTCCCCACCTGAAGTATATGCGTACTGTAAATCTCCCCTCCCACATTAAATGTCCAGTCCATCAATACCCCCTGAATTTCACTGTTCTAGCAATTCTTGTACCTTATTCTCTTTGAAATATTTAAATTTTAGGTTGTAAAGCTTTAATTGGTACGGTCAGCGTATCTGCCAGTCTAAATTACATTTACGAAACTTGGATTGATTTTCTACTCGTAACTACGCTTTAGTGTAAGCGAAGAGAATATGTCAAGATCCCATCCACAATTGTCTGTCTATGGCGTTCTTCAGCTATCCCCTAGAGACCCCACAGAGGCCGCCCTGTAGGAACTAGGAAACCCCCAGGGCTTCCTCAAGGGGCGAAGCGATCCCAGGGGCTTGTTCCCTCCAGGCCTTTGCCCCCTTAAGCTTGTCCCCCTTTGAGGAATTGCCCACAATGCTTACCTCCCGTACTTGGCCCATGGGCCTTTCCTTCAACGGCTTTGCCCCAC